AGAAAGCAGTTTAAAATGGCCAAGTTAAAACATGGAACCAGCACTCAGTTGAATACTATGAGAAACACCAGAAAAGCATCTCCGTTTCCATCACTACATGGGAGACAAACCATTACACTTTGCATATTTAGGTGAATGAACATTATCTACACCAGAGACACTCCAAACTTTTTAAGACTCTTGAACTTCAATTCCCAGAATGCCTCCTTCCGAGCTGGGTAAAATGAGGAGCCAGATTGTTGGGGGCAAGAGGCTTGACTTTGTAAACTGCTTAGAGTGGCTGTAAAGCACTGTGAAGTGGTGTATAAGTCTGAGTGCTATTGCTAGTCCGTCTGTCCATCCGTCCGTCCTTCCTTCCGTCCCTCCCTCTGGCTAGAGTGCAGTATTGTAAGCTAACTCTGTCCACTGCCAGCAGTTTAATTCTGACTGGTTCAAGGTCGACTCAGCCACCCATCCATCCTTCCGAGTTGGTCAAATGAGGACCCAGATTGTTGGGGGCAAGAGAGGCTGACTCTATAAACAGCTTAAAGAGGGCTGTAAAGCACTGTGAAGCGGTATATAAGTTGTAAGTGCTATTGCTAGTCGTTCCTTCCGTGGTGGCGCAGTGGTTGGAAGGCAGTATTGCAGGGTGACTCTGTCAACTGCTAACAGTTTGACAGTGACCAGTTCAAGGTCGACTCAGCCTTCCATCCTTCCAAGCTGGGTAAACGAGGACCCAGATTGTTGGGGGACCCTCTAAACGGCTTAGAGGGGGCTGTCAATCACTGTGAAGTGAGATATAAATGTAAATGCGATTGCTATTTATATTTATATATATTTAAAAGATTCTGCACCTGCTGAGACTGCCCAGCCTAACCAATTTTGTGGTAGAATAGAAATAGAAAAAGCAAACAATACTGAACAGTATTCAAACTTGCGGGGAAACTGCAGTGGTTAGAGTGCAGCACTGCAGGCTACTTCAGCTGACTGCAGTTCTGCAGTTCAAATCTCACCAGCTCAGGGTTGACTCAGCCTTCCATCCTNCCAGAGGATGGGAGAGGACAGGAAGGCCTGGAGGAACGTGGTCCATGAGGGTCGCGATGGGTCGTGATGACTTCGCAACCAACAACAACAAAGTATTTCACCTAAGAATCCTTATCAGTGTCAACAAGACTGGGATCTGGGACTCTCAGAAAGACTGGAGAGAAAAAAATTCCCTTAAAGATCAGAGGGGGAAGAGAAATATCAGTGTAAGTATTCACATCTTGACACGGAAGAATCTCAATGTGACTATATAAAGATAAAACTAAGCATTTTTCTTTTGGGTTTAATGGATTTAAAAACAAAACAAAACGGAGAGTGGGACTGTTGTCTGGGCCGGGCCGGAAGAATTCTGAAATGAGCAACACAACTACAACCTCAAGCAGCCCAGTTGCAGCCCTTGGAAGGTGCAGATTGAAAGGATCAAGTTCCATCTGGGTTGCAGAATGTTTTGCATTCCGCTTGGCTCAATCCAGCAGCTAAAATCCCTGTGGATTATGCGCCATACTCACACAACCAGCTGGTCAATGGTTTTCAGCTTTGGGGACTCCTCACGAGCCAACTCTCCAACGTACTCCACAAGGAACCCGAATAGTTTCTGTGGAATATAATTTTTAATATTATTGATAAATGAAGTCCCCAATCGCCGCGCTTGTTTCAACACCAAACGCCCTCCCGCTCTTTTTAAGCCGTGGTGGTGCAGTGGTGAGAGTGAAGTACTGCAGGCTACTTCTGCTGACTACCAGCAGTTTGGCAGTTCAAGTCCCACCAGGCTCAAGGTTGACTCAACCTTCCGAGGTGGGTAAAATGAGGACCCAGATTGTTGGGGGCAAGAGGCTGACTCTGTAAACCGCTTAGGGAGGGGCTGTAAAAGCACTGTGAAGCAGGATATAAGTCTAAGTGCTATTGTTATTTTTCTCCCTCTCTCCCCAGTAATTAGAATGCAGTACTGCAGGTTAACCTGCCCGTTGCCAGCAGTTCGAATCTCACCAGGCTCAGCAACCATCCTTCTGAGCAATAGCAATAGCAGTAGACTTATATACCGCTTCATAGGGCTTTCAGCCCTCTCTAAGCGGTTTACAGAGTCAGCTTCTTGCCCCCAACAATCTGGGTCCACATTTGACCCACCTCGGA